TATTTCTATTTATTTAACATTACATATTGTAGAAAATAATAGTGCAAAAATGTTTTCAGTTTATTGAACCAATAAATGAAACTATTTATAACTATTGCAATGGATGGTATATAATTAGAGTCGTAATAAACTAGACGACGTGCTATGAATCCAGATCCAGGATCATTATTATTATATTATTAATTGTGGTTAAGCAAAGAAAACATTTAACTATTATATACGTATATATTATTGCTGCTATAAATTGATTAAACAGATTTCATGTTTTCATATGTGACATGACTTAGGTATTTAATCTTTTCAATCCAATTTCAACAGAAAACATCATTAGCATTCGCGCTGTTAGTACCCAAGATACTAATAGATCAGATCTAGTCTATTAATACAAATAAAAAAATTAATGTAAAGGAATAAATAACATATGTAATCTTTAATAAATTCAATCGCCTTTACAAATTTACACATTCATCAAAGTAATACGATAATAAGAACTATAAAAAACTTTTTAAGACACTGCTTTGTGACTAAATACAGCCACTTTATGTACCCTATAAGTAAATAGTTGGGGCATGAAAAGTTAAACCAATTTGCGAAAGGGCCTTGCCACACGCCCGGAAGCGTTTGCAACAAGAGGTGTTAAACTTTTAATTAGTTCGCCAACTTTCAAGAAGCATTAAGGTTAGCTATTCGCTCTAAGTTACGACATCGGACTATTTGATTTTTAGCTTGTTGTCTGAGACTACTAGAAAAAATCTATTTAAATACAGACTTATTGAATATACCTTTATTCACTATAATTATTCTTTTTGAATTCGGTAAAAAATAATGTAGGCGAATGTAAAGATATATTATATTTGTAACTGTGAGAATATAGAAAGAAATATTTAAAATATCCAAGCTGGCAGCAGGTGTTCCATGTCAGATGCCGGGAATTTAAATTCAGGTAACAGTGAACGATCCAAATGTACGGACATACGACATTTTATCTGGTACTTGTTATCAGAATTCACACATATTGGATTATTTTTAGTATACCTGTTTTAATATATTAAAATTAAAACATTGTTCCATTATAAAATCTTTGAGAGGTTAGTTCCAATATATACATATATCAATTGTTAATAAAAAAATCACATTTTATGTTGGCCCCTATTACAGTTTTGGTGTTTAAAAATAAAAGCAATATTTTTTTAAAAAAATATTAAAATTATACAGAAGAAGTCTGCTATTAATGCAAATACCTACCAATAATCAGTAACAATAACAAAATTTATTATAACAAAAAAATGTGTAGGTAGTCTTACTGTCTTTTTATTCCATGCGTCGCGTGATTGGAATAAATGACTGCAATTTGCTCGTAGCATTCAGTGCATATTTTTAAAAGTTAGTAACTATGCCTATGAAAATTGTTCTTAATTGTGATTTCGTTTGGGTGATTTTTAACAAACTGATTAGACGGAATAAAATATTTTTTATCTCTACCTGTTTTACCCATTATATATTCCATGTGTGTTAAATTTCATAACGATCTAATAATTACTGACAGTTCGAAATCAGTTGCTTATTCTAACATCACTAAATTTATAAGTTAAATCTACATTCCTGCAGATAATTAAATTATTCATTTAGAGGACGTATGTATACATAATAACGAGTACTGCTGCTTCAAGCACAAAAGTTGGCTTGGTGTTTCATGTGAGTAGCCAGTGTAAATGCCGGTAATATTGATGTTGGTGATTCACTGTAAACACCGTTAACGAATCTAATAAATCTCAGAGACGGCAGCATTTTATACAACAGCTGCAGCAGTCTTTTTCTGCTTGCAATTATTTTGTAAGTAATTGCGGAAGAATGCTTTAAAAATAATAATAAGACTCCTTTGTTCGTTCAAGATTAAAATTGTGAAAAAAAACAATTGTTTAATTAAACTGGTATAAAGATGAAAAGTAGAAGTAAAAGCTCAGTCAATAAAAAGGCGCGTCAGACTAAGTGGAGTGGCGCTTAAGGCCCGCTATAAGTCCATTTTTGCATTGTTTTTCTACTGACCGACTAATTCAGTTAACCGTTTAGGATCATCCGGAGCCCCATTGATGTTCTTTTTCGCCATTTTTCTTTCACATAAATACAGAAATATATTGTAACAAGTATATTAGTAAAGATTTTGTAATAGTAAGTACATACATATTTAGTATAAATAGAGGCATAGAAGATTTTATATTATAATCTAAAATATAATATATTTAGAATGAATACCGTAAAATGTTTACAAATTTAGTAGTAATTATAAATATATATACATACATATTATTAACTTAACATACGTTATAAGTCGATTTATTATAAATAAATAAATCATAAAGAATAGAGTGAGTGATAAAATCTAACCGATAATTTTCTAAAGAGACATTTTAGGAAAATACTAATTTGGCCATTTTTCATATTTTCTCCCTCCTAATATAACTGAGACGACGCAGACGTAGCTATGGGACCACTGAATGATACCTCACTTATGAAAAATTAACTAAACTTCTATAAAACACGTGAAATTTTACATTCAAATATTTAAGTATTTAAAAAAGACACTACTTTGTCTGTTAACATCAGATACATAGTAGATTTTATGTTTAGTATGTTTAAATACTCTCATGTAACAAGAATAACTATACTATATTTAAAAATATTATACACCAAGGAAAACTTTACCTAAACATATTTTTTATTAAAACTCAATAACATTGTTGATGACAGAAGGTTGTTCGTCTAATGTTACGCTTCCCTTAACTTAATGCTCTTCCCCTTCGAGCGTAAATGGAAATTGGAGTCAATGAGAATAGTCCTTTTTGCGGGTGCAACTTTTTTTCCGATAACGAAGTCATCATCATTTTCTTAGTCCGCACTCAATTATTTGGTCTCACTAGTGCGTCCATCCAAAATCTTTACGTACAGCATTTTTACTTGTTTTCCAATAGTAATCTTTAGGTATCTACTAGTAAAGTCGAAAATTGTTCACAGAGGGTAATGTTTGAGTAATATTTTAAGCTTCGACAAAGGGGTTGGGCTGGAGATTACATTACAATCGAGATATTATTAAAATATACTTACCCCGTCTTAGAAATTAGTGCAAATTTTCTTGATCTCCGTTAAGTTAATTAGATCGTGGTGTCTTATAGGATGGTTGAACGAGTTAAACTCGTATTGAATATTTATTGTCACACTCTATGGCAAAAAAGTCGTTTATAATGCTATTCAATAATAACGGTAGTATATATTCGACCCTGTTTTTATTTCTATATAGTATAAAAGTATTATACAAAATATTTCTAGAATTAGGTATTTATGATTGTATAATTAAATAAGGTAGAATACAAGGGTTTTCTACCCCCTGTATATTACCTTGATATATCATAAATTATACTAGAAAAAATGTCCATGTTAATTCTCCACTTTGTGATTATTAAACAGAAATCTTTTGTAACTAATTACGTGGCTCGTCTTTTCTGACATGGCAACGCGAAACCAGATGTTCTCATTTCTCATGCAAATTATTATTTTATAGCAAAAGTCGGGAAACTGCTGTTTTTATACTTATTTCTTTTTTTGTAAAAACTTTACAGGAGTTGTTTCCGTAACTTTGTAACGACATTTAAATTAAACCTAATACTCTCACATAAAGTATTAAAAACATATTTAGTATTTTTATTTAATGTGACAAATTAAATGAACTATTTAATTATACATATAACGATTTGAATAATAATTAAAAAACAAGAACAAAATTATTTTGTATCTACAAAAGAGGATTATATGACATATGAGAAAAGTCGAAATAGATTTCTAGAATAGTTCCTATTACAAGCCTTCAGAGGCAGGGATCATCCATCAAGGAAACTGCATACTTCAATCTAATTCAAGTAGGTAACATTTGAGTACAACGAATTATCTGGATGGTGAATGGTGAATTTTTATTTGTCATATGAAAATGTAATGAGTTTAAAATGAGTTGGCAAGTACTTTTATTTTTGGGAAATCCAACTTGGTAATCGTATACAATGGTTAAATTTAACAGTTTTATTTACTAAGTTGTTCAATTTTGTGGAAAACAATAACGATTCTATTATATTATTCTGCGAGAGTAAAATAATGTATTGTCTTTTCATATTTTGTTAGCCAACGAAGTGTTATAGTATGAACAAGTGTTTTAAATTAGGTAGAAATATATTAACTATAGTAAAGCGTATAGAACATTAGCAACAATTTTTAACAAGCGCGAGCGCGAGCGAGTTGGTTTATTAAAATTAATTTTGATACCAAAATATGTCCACTGTATAACTGCAAAATATGCAGGTGCAAATATTAAAGGGAAGCTGCCTGGGATATTGTATAATTGTCAGTTTAATCTGTATTACAGGTAGGAGTCAAGGAATCAAATCAATTTACCTAATTATTTTATTACAGGTACTGTTAGGAAAATACAAATTATGTAAAAGCACATACGGTCAGTAGTACATAACATTTTTGAGATGCACTTTTTTCAATAAAGTTTTTAAGGAAGATAAACACATACCATATACACACCAGTATGTTTCAAAATATTGGATTTGAAATATTGTAGGTCTTAAAAGAACTTCTGGCGCACATACTAAGTAATAAGGTCAGGGTTTTGTTGTACCATGAGAAAAAACAGGGTATTTAAATAGAAAAAATAACTACATTATTAAAAATAAACTGAAGTATAAAATATATAATTACACATAAAATTTTTATTTTACATATAAAAAAATTATTCAATTCATATTACATGTACATTCCAAATTGATATTTGAAATAGTATAAAAATATTTATTATATACATATTTTCCGCTCTCCGCTCTGTTTCATATTCTTGTCTATTTTGAAACATAACCTACTTCTTGTAACTACCGGCTTTTAGATGACTTCAATCGACAGTAGTGTTCGACTACCTACCAGACTTTATTTAATCGGAAATTAAACATAGAAAAATGTTATTTGAAAAAATTTGGTAAGTTTATATTAATTAAAAAATATATATGTAGGAAGAATGCGAACACATTCATATGAATATGATGAGTTCTGAAAGTAAATCATGTAAAATGTATATCTGGCAATAGGCGCTATGTTAATATTCTATATAATCTTTCTTCACGTATGGTTGCCACCAAACTCCTCTGATTTGGATTAAATTTTGTATGAACGTTTCAAGATTCCTGTTTATAAATAACAATTATTTTATGTTTACTTATATCTTTATACACCCAAAAGTAAGAAGAGATTGCTAATCGATATTGCCGCCTTTTATGTCAGTCAATGTATATTGACTTATTTTTTGTTCTGTATTTGGTGCAATAAAGAATATAAAAAAATATGTATCTATCAGATAGCGCTATGTTTCCGGTCTGCCGTCCGTCAGTCTATCCTCTAGTATAATACGAATATAATACGTTAAAAAATATATATATATATATATATATTATCTTTACAGTATCATTACATTGCTATCATTAGTATCTTCAGAGGAGCCGTTACAGCCCAATATTGTTTTTATAGTCGCAGATGATTTGGTAAGAATCTATATGTACCTAAACCTACTATATAATAAAAAAAAAATTACATCTATACTTAAATCAGATCCTATAAATAAGGTTATGTCTGAATTAGTTAAGCCATTTAATTAACCTACTTTTATGAAGATATTCAAAAACTAGGAAGGAAGCATGCTTCTGTCTAAAGTTTACATTAAATGAATTTAAATTTACATCAAACATTTATAAGAACTAACTCTTAAATATCGTGTTTATTACTTAATTCATTACTCGCATTATATATTCATTCATTTTCAGGGTTGGGATGATGTCAGTTTCCATGGATCAGATGAAATTTTAACTCCTAATATTGATGTACTTGCTTACGAAGGTGTGATACTCAATCAATACTATACCGATACTGAAGGAACAGCGTCAAGAAGTGCGCTCTTTACTGGCAAATATGCTATGCGACTTGGTAAGACTTTCTATTTGCCTAATTTTATCTTATCATTGGTATTAGAATGACAAAATTGATAATTATCTAATGTTACCTCTGTCTTATCTATTTCTGTAAGTAGCTGGTTTTATAAATTGCATAGTAATTTTGTATTCTTGATAAGTTTATTTTGTTAGTTATCGTATTAGGGAAATAGAGATCCTAACATTGAATAATTGGGTTTATTAATAAACAAACAATCCTCTGAGGTAAACAATGTATCACAATTCCACTAAAATGAAATCGCTTTGTGGTATTTACTCCAAAAGTTATTTAGCAATCAGGTTAATATAATATTATAATTGCTTTGTTTATTTATTCACTTTCCTAGCGGCTATCCGCAACTTCATCAAAGCAAGAACGATTAATTTTCTAAAATACCTACACGATAACGTAAATATAAAACCCTATGATTAAACTGACTATATTAAACTGAATATATAAGTAACTTTACTCTTCATTTACATGATAAGTAACTTAAAAAAATTAAGTCCTTTCAATTATATACATAGAGATAAGGGGGAATAGGTTTGTTAGTAAATTTGGAAATGGCATTGTACCATGTCAGAAGGACCTCCACGCGGTCCTTTCTAGAAATCATCGTGATAAATGCATTTGTCACGGTGGGTTAACTGACCTAAACCCATACTCATCTTATAATCCTCCACTGGTGCCCCGCCTTTGTAAACAGTGGGCGCAGGCGTGTGCATTTTATTATCACCACTTAAAAAAATTAAGATAGGGATTATTACTTTACTGTATATTTAAATATATAAAAGAACATGAAAATTGAAAGGAACTAACTCTGAATCCATTTTCCGTAAATTTCAGAGGAGTCATGTTAATTTTATAGGATTGACAGAACTTTATTAAAATATTTACATACTTGCATTGTAACAAAAATACAGTACTCTGATAAATAATTACATCGCGTTACGAACACCTTTTAATAGACTACTAAAAGGAGATTATGAATAGAATATATGTTTATATACGAAACCTCCTACGTCGGTTGTTTTTTATGTGGAACGAATGATATATACTTGTATCAATTTCAACTGTAGCCTTTGTAAACATGATCTTTCTATCGTTCTCAACTTAAATGGCTTCCTAAGGCCTTGCCACTCGTCAGCATAAACAGTTTCGGTTGCTTTATTTTGCGTTTATTATTGCGTTGTATATTATTGTTATCTTTTCTACTTACGGTTCTTCTTCACTGAAACGAAATATTAACTAGTTGTATCACATACCGCTGCCAGTATTCTATTAGTGAAAGAATGATTAAAATATGTCAAGTATTTATAAATATGTAAGTATCATTAGAAGTGATATTCTAGCTTAGTAAATCTTTATGTACCTATATGAAAAATGGACGGAAGAATTAAAAAATACTTATTACCAAAAAGGGGCCTAATTGGATAAAATATCTTACAGGAATAAATAATTAGATATTGCTTTATGATAAATACTTACATAATATAATCCTCAATGTTAACGTTATACATTTACATGTGGACCAAAATATTTCATTAATATACTGCAATATTCCTCTTTTATTAAATAATAACAAATTCGATACCATGTTTTTAGACGACATGTCAAATAATAAAAGTGGAAAAAAATGGGAAATACCTCAACGTTATAAGGCATAACGCTGTATTATTATACATATAACAGAATGTAATAAAAATTCAACTTCTAATGATTCAATACCAAAGGGGTAAAGGAACTATTGGAATAAAATTGCGTTGTCTGACTATTTTCTACTATAAATAATATCGAGAATAGTTATTATTATTTGTGTGGTTTTTATTTACATTAACAATTTCTGCGCAAATTCAGTATAGATGATTGTATTGACATATATCAACACGTCATATTTCAGGAACACAAGGCATTTCACTATCGGCAGCTGAAGATCGCGGTATACCCATATCTGAAGCATTACTGCCATCCTATTTAGGAAAATTGGGGTACTCTACTCACTTGGTAGGAAAATGGAACGTCGGTAAATCCAGAGAACATTATCTGCCAACCTCTAGAGGATTCGATTCTTTCTACGGCTTCGTGGGTCGTTCAGTGGATTATTACACATATAATCTTGTAGAGGTATGTAAACATATATTATAATATATGCATGCTAAACTTCTATACTAGTTTTCTTGTTTCATGTCAAATTTTTCATTTAATTGTGCTGAAATTCGTAATTTTATTTACTTATCTATTATATTTACTAACTATACTGTACTGTCTAAAACTTTGTATCTTCTATCTTTTCTTATTTACAGAACTGTAATGGCAGTGATTTCTTCGGACTTAATCTCTTCAACAACAGCGATCCTGTATTTGATCAAACTGGTCATCTAACTGAAATCCTTACGGATCAAGCTTTACGAAGTATGTAGCAGTATAATTTTATTTATTACAAATATAATAGATAGAATTCAAAATGAAATGACATAGGTCCACTTATATTAATAGTTCGCAAAATACGAAAATAATTTTATAATTCTAAATTGATTCGACTATATTAAAATCTAAAAATATTTAGATAAATCATCTATATAATAAAGTGTGAATATACACACTACAAAATGACTACATAAATGACTAAGTTCTTTCTAGATTATATTTAAGTTTTCTAAGGTAAAATTATAATATCTTGTAGATGGTAAATGCAATATCAACTTTTTTTTATTTCAGTAATAAGAGGACATAATGTATCGGTACCGCTATATCTTCATATTTCTCATGCTGCTCCCCACGTGGGCGGAGGACTAGTGAATCTACAACCGCCTTTGGATAGCATTGAAGCAAATGCACATATTGCCTATTCTGCTAGGAGATTATATGCAGGTAATCGACTGTCAAATTAATGTATACATTCCTTATAGTCAAATGTGACATTCTTGACTGTACTCGTATTGTTATTAAATGTAATTGTTATGGATATTGTAATAATATGGTATTATAGGTTTCAAATAGTTAGTTTTTTTTTTAATTGGATTTCCGATAATATTTGTATGAGTATTTTTTTTTATATGATTTCTAACCTATTGATTTATTTATGCCAAGTCTCTAATGATCAAATCTACATAATATTTAAGTTATTCTATTGAAACTTCCACACTTATTAATTTTTATTTCAGGACTAGTAACAAGCTTAGATAAAAGTATTGGACACATCGTTTCAGCATTAGCTGAGAGAGACATACTAGATAACACAATATTAATCTTTGTATCCGATAATGGCGCAGCTTCAACTGGGTCTTCTCAAAACTTTGGATCCAATTTACCATTTCGAGGTACTAAAGGTACACCTTGGGATGGAGCTGCGCGTGCCATAGCTCTTCTATGGCATTCATCGTTATCGCCTAAAATACATGATGGATTATTCCATGTCACTGATTGGCTTCCCACACTGGTTAACGCAGCAGGTGGAAATATATCCGAACAAATTGACGGTATCAATCAATGGGATACTATAAATCACGACGAGAAATCTAAGCGACTTGATATTTTAATAACTATAGATGATTTAAATGGATGGGCAGCATTTAGACAGGGTGACTTCAAAATAATTGTAGGAGATGTAAACCAGAATTTTAGCGTTTTTTATAGTAAAGAATTAAAGGTATTAAGAACCCCAATACCATCATACGAGGGTATGTTATTAGAATGTGATACAAATCGAATATTTAGAGAAATGTTAGATTTGGTAATGGATGTTGATTTAGCATTTTCTAAACGAAAAGAATTGATTGTAACTAATATACACGAGAATGAAATGGACGTAAATCTTTGTGTCCCAACTAAAGGTAAATACTTGAAATTTTACTAACCCTCAATATAAGATGGATTTAGTACTATTTGCAGTGTATACGTATAAGTAATTATTATTTTCAAATTTCAGCCAAAGGTTGTCTTTTTAACATAACTGCCGATCCATCGGAAACCAATGACTTATGGAATAGTTTACCGGAATTAGTGAGACACATGACTTTACGTCTCAGAATTTTATGGATGGAGATGATCCCTAGACGTCAGCCTGAATCAGATTCGAGAGCAAATCCATCAAATCGCAACTATATTTGGTATCCCTGGGTAGAGAACAATGAAGTAATATTGGAACCTCCTAAAACGCCTGCATTCCCTTTACAAGTATCTGTTAACGAATTAGAATATTTAGTAGATTTAAATATGAACACTTTTAAGGAAAACTTAAATCAATACATTAAAAATATGAGTAAATCTTTTATTAGAAGCGTAACTTCATTATTTTCTTTATAAGTTCATCTATGTACATATGTATAATTAAATAGTATATTTTTAACTTAATTCTCAGTTATTCTTTTATTTTGTTAGCTATAACATCACAAATGTGTTACGATATAACTATCAATTGATAAAGTAACTGGATGCGTAGGACCCTACACACATACCAAGTCTATTGGTATAGGTTGGATAATCTGAAATACCTACCTAACAAATTTTATGAGCCGACGAGGTGTTGTATCGTCGCTTCGTCGACCGTCCTTTGATCAAGCGGGGCGTGCATTAAAAAGGAAAATTGGTCATTTTCGGGTTAGCACGACTGAAAGAGCATTTACTTTATTATACTCCACGAACAATAATAGAAAATAGTTCACGAGAATAAGCCGTTTATTCAGACAAAGGATATTTTATACCACACTCTTAGCGCAAATTTTTAGTATACAAAATTGTTTTATTTTTCCCAATGAAATCAAAAGACAAAAAGGTTTATCGACATATACCTATGAATAAAACATTTTTATGTAAATGCTTCAATTGGGTTCGTATATATAATTGGAATTCAATCCTCGCAAAAATAACTATTCAGATTGTCATATGTTATAGACAAATAGGTGAATAAATAGGATATATATATTATAAATTACAATTAGTCCCAATACCTTTGTTTGCTGTAATAACCCTTAGAAATTGGGTTTTAGTGGATTTTTTATGGTTATTCTACGTTCTAACAATAACAGTTTGGTTTGTGAAAATTGTGCTATATTGGGATCCCTAAACACTCCAAATCGACTTAGTATTGCCGTCATAAATCTTTTGAACCGGAGAGCCCTCTAATCTAACGCTTCAACTCAACAAGAAATATACGAGGCTTCAGGCGATTTGTGCTGCATTCTTACAATACAGCGCGGATTGTGATTTCAGAGGCGTGTTCGGATATTTGGCTTTGGAAAACCATAAACTTGGTCTTCTCGTCAAATACATAATATAACTTTCTACATACAGTATCCTTAGCGTACAATACTAATATGATACAATATCCTTAAGTTAGCGGTATTTATTTTTTTGAATTAATGTTAATTTTAATATAGAGTTACGAAGGGATAAATTAAATAGCCTCGAAACTATCTTAGCTGAAGAAAACCAATAATAATTAGTACCTACTTCTATTTATACACCAGAAATCCCGACTGGTTGAGAGCCATTGTTTGTAAGACTATTTAAATTTTTATCTACTTACCTTTTCGTATGGAAACCGACTTATGTTGAACCAAATTATTCACAAAGACAGTTTACTTACAATATTTGATATATTTGGGCATATAACATATTACTACAATTAAGTTTACGACCGTAAGCTGTGAAGCCGTTACATTATCGTTGTACTCGATTTGTTTTTGTTTAATAATTTCAGTTTCTCATAAGTTTTCTCTGAAGTTAAGAACCAATTTCGTTAAACACAGAGACGAAATGAAATCATTTCGATTTGAAATAGAATTTAAAGATATACATTCAGCACCTGTCACATAAAAAAATATACGGAATTGACAATATTGCGTTTATGCATTCGCTCATGGGTTGCTATTATATACGATTAACTAAAAGAAGGTTATCATTGAATAGTTATCTTTGACAACACATTCTGGCACGCAGCCAGTCTTAGTTGCGCTTACTAACAACTTTATTATGCATTACAGTATGTCGTGTGAACCAAAATATGCAACCGTTCACTAGCCAAGTTTAGGCTTTACATTTTCATTAGATGATGCTATGTCGCCGGCTGCAATGGACGCGTAGAAGACACTTTCAAAAAGTTCCAGACTTTACTTCAAGTAAGTACGGTTTAGATATATAATTACATAAATATATATATTTATATATCTAAACTGTACCTTAGTACGCGATTCGATGTTCCTATATATATACTGAAAGGTGTTTTAAAGATTTTAAATAGCATTACGGATTATATTCTCATTCAGGAAAAGGTATCTATAGATACTATCAATGTATCTTAGCTGATATTAAAAACATTAAGCTTATCTCTATTTATATCTTTAGTCTTATATATTCTTAAGTCATTTATGTAAACTGTGTTCATTTATTATGTACTGTCGTTTTTCCTTAAAGTTTGTTAAATGTTTTTCTCTATTGGATTTTTCTATAAAAATTGTACATCCTGTGCTATCCTACTAAAGTATTTACTTACATATTATATTCGAACAATTATTTTATTATCTACACAAATTAAACTCAAAATTTTTCTCTTCATACAGCAAAATAGTAAAATTTAGACTTTTAATTATATGAGCTTGGCCTTGATTTGACCATTAGACATGCTACTACCCAATGTTGTCACTTTACTTTAGGCAACGGGAATTTTTACCTCATTACCTGAATAACGACAGAATTAACTTTCATCACGTCGTTTATTTTTAGTACGTTTACGCACCGAATTTTACCAAAAATAGAAGTCTAAGGGTATGAAAAAAATACAGAAAGTAATGAAAATCTATTGGACATAAATATATTTATTTTTATTTGTATCAAAAATATAAGTAATACTGTCTTCTTATAAACACAGATATGAGCATAGATCTTAGAAGGTTATAAATAATAATAAATTGCATGTATTTTTTTACAGATGCAAAAAGTCGTAGTTACATACAATATTATAATAAAAACTAAAACTACTAAATAATAGGAGTTATTAAAAACTTACGATGTTACCTGTAAAAATAAGTTCATTTGGTAAGATGTAGTCATTATTTTTCAATATTGTGAAAAAGTATTCCTAACATCAATGTATCTTGTCACTCGAATAAATTGCGGACACGACAAGAATATGGCTTTGAAATGTAGACAAATCTGCTTGCCAAATTTGACAAAACATGTTTTATAATTATCAGGATAAGGGATAAGCGATCAACAATTTTTCGTTAAAAACAAAATATACTACATCAGTACTAATATTATACAATGGTAAAGTTTATGAGTTTGGATGGTCGGGGTAATCTTCGGTAGTGTAGAATAGTCTATTCAGCGACTACCCTAGTCGCTATAGAAATATCTCGCTACAATCAAAAAGAGCGAAAGTGCAATGAAAAATATTATAGGTCAGGAAAAATATGTAACTAGTAATATATAAATAAGTGATTAGTCTAAAACGCATATGTAACAGCGCTATCGATAAGCATAGTGTTCTACTGTGCGTTGTCCATCATTGTCTTTTTCATAAATGGATATTGTGTGACGATTCTTCAGTTATTGAATTGCGGTATTACTGTTATTGATACTAATGGCCTATTATAAAGGTAAATAAATAAAGTAAACCATTATAATATAATATTATTACCAATTACTAAACAGCATAGTAGAGTACATAACAATAATTGATATTATTAAAGGAATTTTTATATTTATGAAATTGTGGTAAATTTAATAAGATTAATTTGATAGTATGAATGACTAATGACATTTGAAATGTCAGTTTATTATGTTGGATAAAATCCGATCAGCTTTCAAAATTATCTTCTAGTTAAGAGCGCCATAATGAACTAATGATTGCTATTCCCCATCTCTCCCAACTTCCCCTGCCATGAATAAAGATCATAGCATTTCATATCATGCGTTACGAGTACGTTATGACAGTATGAGTTTATAAATTATTCGCGCCTTAACCTCGGTATAATTGCGTGACTAATGGATGTACCTTCTGTTAAAGCCGATCCATTTGCAATCAAGAGAAGTTCGTATTGAAGTCTCTGAATTAATTATTGGGATGGTCCGAGCAATATTAATCCTTAAACTATTTCACGAGTCTTGTGCACAGTTATACTACATTAATCTGATAGAGATAAATTCACAATGTTGTTGGAAACTTTTAGTCAATAACCAAACCAATGTTTAGGCTGCCTCTTATAATTAAATGAATTTTAGACACTGGTTCTTATTATTCAAACTTTTGATCAAAAAGTGGATAACGCCGTAAAGATTCTTAAATAATTATTAACTAATATACATTTTTTACACTTCATGTCACTAAGATACAAGTGAGCGTCCTGCAATTTGATTTATCTTAGCACTTCATTCTATAGTTTTACTTTGGAATTTATAAATCGTATCTATACTCGCCCGACTATATATTTAGTATTTACTTAAATCGAGAAATAGAGTATTTATTTATAAAACTATTTTTCTCAATGTCAGTTTCAACTGTGAGAATATTGGTGCACTGAGTAGTGAGACAATGACGGGGATGAAGCATTGCTACGGCCGTTGCCGTGACGGTGATGAAGGCGACGACGCGACAGGACGCGAGTACATATAAAAACGTATATATGACCGTATTTTTTTATTTATGTATAAATTATACACTAATACAAAAATATGTTTCACTCATACAAGTACTTGGAAAGTGCATTTCATCTCATAAATTCAGATACTACAAGAAGGTATTAATATAAAAGATGGTTACTAGTTAAATATTCCGTGGAATCTCTATAAATTTAAATAAAGTTACGGACTTCAGCTTTTAGCTATCTTGTAAAGTTGTTCTCTGAGGAGTTAGAATAAGTCACGCTACTGTACAAGACTTGACTGAAATTCTAATAAGCTACTCATCTTGTGCTCTCTTAAATAGGTATACAAGATACTACGAAATACTCATAATCAATTTCTTTACTTGTGATATATCTTTTTTGCTCTATTTCTAGTCAGAAATGAACCTCTTCCTTTTTAGCATGACTATGCTTTAGGTTCATAATATTTTTATGCTGTATCAAATTAAATAGTTATAATAATTTGAACTAATTATGAATTCTGTGTGATAGTTATGAAGGAAAATGTGTGACATAAATCATTATGATATTACTTATGTTATCAATTAGGTACTAACTGTGAGGTGACAGAATAGAAATACGGATTAATATACAAGGATGTGTTATAAAAACAGTATAAACAGTTTTTTTTATCTTGTAAAAATTATAGAATTACTTAAATTTTACAATCGAAATTCGTGGAAGTAAAAGAAAAATACAAACTTATTTAAAATTTTAAGAAAAGGTATATTCAAGTAAATTTTAACATGCCTTGCAACTTTCTTTTAGGTTCTCTTAATAGTTAAGTATTTCATATTTTATAAATACCTGTAACAAAAATTTATAACAGAAATTTTAGCTCATCCATTCCATATACTAGTCATATGCTATGCATACTAACATTAACTAAATGAAAATATATCCCATATTAACATAATTTAATATATGGTATAACGGTGCTTATTGTTAGAGATGTAGAAATACACTAATTTACTTAAAGATCTTGAGGATGTAGTATGAAAAGAAGTCATATGAATAGTCCGTAGTGTTGCAAAAAATAAAAGGCATTTTTATTTCACTGATCTTTATTTATTTTATTATATTGGTATAGAGTATTCTTCACTAGGAGTTATTATCTTGTCATAATAACAGCATGTACAATTGTACATGGAAAGCAATTAAAAAAAAAAGAATTATCATTTTTTCTAATTTCGCTATGATAAAATAGAAAAATATTTTCAATTCGTTTTAGTATATGTATAGTTAGTTAATAGTGGGTAGTGATATGTAGTTGTCAATTTATTACATGACAGTTAACAACCAAACTATAGTTAATTATAATTATTCGTTATCCACTGCATAACATTGTTTCTAAATACTTATGATAGAGCTGATGCGAACAGAATTCTAAATCTCTATATAAAAATGTATGCACGTAGATAACAGACAATAATAAAATTATAAAAAAATAAAAACTGCCAGTAGAGTCAAATATTCAAAGCGATAAGGAACAATGGCATGTAATAGGTTCCTGTCACGTTTTGCCGCAACGGCTATAGCACTCTGACGAGCAGGTAGAAACGCATACAAGTAAAGTTAACACGTCACGTATGCGTATTTTATACGCAATGCGATCACGGGCGTAGCGTAAAACAAGTTACCCAATTACGGGTTGGTACCTACAGCGCATCTATTCATTCATTTACTAAGATATAGTTTGTAACTAGGTCCCTAGCAGTCCTTTTTTCAAGCCCTGTCAATAATTATACGATTGGTGTCATAAATAAGCACATTTGTATTTATTTACTAAAAAGTTCATATTTCGATTGTCAAATGTGTGTCTCTTGGGGGGAGGGGGATTGTTAGTAATGTGGACTCATGACCCCATTACTAGCAATGTACCATGTCAGGTTGACCTCCACGCGGTTCCCCCTGGAAACTATCGTGATAACTTCCTCCTGAATTTGTCACGATGGGCTAACTAACTTGACCTCATGTTCATCTTATCATCCTCCACTGGTGCCCCGCTAGCGTAAACCGTTAGCGCAGGCGGGTGCACCATTCCATTATCATCTATAAAAAAAAAAATGTGTGTCTCTGGGGGGAAGAGGGTTGTTAGCAATGTACCATGTTCAGGTTGACCTATACGCGGTTCCCCCTGGAAACCATCGAGATAAATTCCTGGTAAATTATAATCCTCCACTGGTGCCCCGCCAGCGTAAACCGTTAGCGCAGGCAGCTGGCACCATTCCATTATTATGTTTAAAAAAAAATGTGTGTTTCTTATACACAATTTTAATATTACAACTTCGGTGGTCTAGTGGTTTAGCACTTTAGTTACGCTGGTCGCAGGTTCAATTCCTTGTACTTTGAATGTGAATATATATTCTTTAAATTAGTCTGGATGTTTTGTGTTTATATTATGTCTGCATTTACAAAAAAAAGTATTTAAGTATTTGCATCGGTTGTTCGTATTTTTCAAATAAAACCATTTATTTGAAGAATACAGTCATTATCGGTTTAATCATTTTAATTATTATGTTTAGTGTAATCCACTTGCGTACATGAGAGCATATTTTTCATACATTGCAACATAAATACTCTACAGAACATTCAAGCATTATAACAGTAATAACATTAAAATATTCAATATCTAAATAGTTATAAAACACAAATAATTTTCATTCATTAGTAATCTCTGCCGGTAATTTTCAAAATTTCATATCTATTCTATCCATGGAAATGATTTTAAACTGAGACTGACATATTTAGTACTTTTTTCTTATAAATATCTTCACGGCATTGAGGTTGGTATAATTTATTAATATTTTTTAGTCGGTTTGTCTTTGATTCAATTCGCCATGTTTCTTCCAATATGTTCCTATGTAGTTCTCTAATATTATATTATTTGTTATAATGTACATATGCATGAATATGGTAAAATATTTAATTATTGAAACTGTGGCCAGTAGATATACCATTATACCATGCATTACATATTACCTACTTGATACACTTCTTTTGAACTCTATTTTTCTAAATATCTATAGACTTTTATTTTTATTACCTCAAAAAATCAGACTATAATTGAGGACTCACTACATATAATATAAACATGGTATGTGGTTAACGAGATAGAGTTTATTAAAAAATCTGTCCAATGTGCACTTTCCATTCAAATGTCTATCGATCGTTTTACCAAGACATAAAACAGTTTTCTTCATCTATATGATTATTATTAATATGCACTCAAATAGGAATATGGCTTAATATGTACGAAGAAAATTGCATTTAATGCGTTTTACATTTAAATTGTCTGGATTCATCCAACCTAATACATGACAGAGTGCTCATTTACGATTGACTGGAAAGTATTCCTATTTTGACACTTTATTATTTGTTGTATCATCTGCAAATAATGTACACTTATATGGAGTGGTTCCTACCAGCGTGTCGCGGTTCACGAAATTAAAAACTTTGCTCACATGTACCTACTATATAATAGAAACGTAACGATTTATTATATCAATTAATTACATAATGTGATCAATATCAACATATTTCTATAATCAGATTTTTTTAACTATTTTTCGCTTCTCTATATTTAAGTATGAATATTAATTTAGTGGAGATCTTTGGGGTAGGCCTTTGTTCAGCAGTGGACGTCTTTCGGGCAGATGATTAATTTAGTATAGATTATTTCTTTGAATGCAATTGATGAATAACGATATTTGAATAGTTACTTCAAAGTTTGTCATTTTACTCTTGAAAGTAACTGCACGAGGGGTGCACAGATGACCATTTTTCTTTATTGAAAGCCTATGTTAAATATAATATACTCGTACCTGAGTAAAGACTTATTATGAGTTGAATCCCTACAATGTTCTTATGTATATTTAACTAATACGCAGAATTTTGCAGAAGAAGCTCTTTTTATATAGTTTTTTTTTTATTTCTTAGAAACCAACGGCATTACTATTTGTATTTTACATAGTTTATGTGATAATATTAATCATGTTTAGTTACTATATAGTATATATATAATTTTTATATGTCAATTAAATTCATGTACTAAAACAAAATAGGAAGCTATACCTTTCGTAATAACAGGGATAATAAAGGTATCGCGAATATTTATTTTCTCGTTTAATTAGTTATTTAGGCGTGATTAAACACCAGTTAAGTGACGTTCACCATAATAATTACGTAATATAGTAATTTTGCAGGACAATATCAAGATCAGTCATCAAGTTGTCTATCAATACACAAAATGGCTTCTAAGCATGTAACAATCAGAAATAATGTAGTGTTGTCAGATTTTATTCATCCTTCTAAGATGTAGGTACTCAGTAAACTAATTATAACATATACCTAGTATAAACATGAAATTCCTTCATATACTTATTTCGATTTCAGAAGATTATAGAGCCAGTACATAATCAAGGAGCTTAACTGGTTTGCTTATTGATATCCAGTTATTTTTTAAAGATGATAATGGAATGGTGCACCCGCCTGCGCTAACGGTTTACGCTGTCGGAGCACCAGTGGAGCATGATAAGATGAACATGAATGAGGTCAGGTCAGTTAGACCGTCGTGATTAATTCACCAGGAATTTATCACGATGATTTCCAGGGGGAACCGCGTGGAGGTCTACCTGACATGATACATTACTAGTAATGGTCACGAGTCCACATTACTAACAATCTCCTTTCCCCTAATAGTCAGATATTTCAGATCAGAGTTATCAACTTTTACAACCTAAACATTGATACAGCGGCAAAAACCAAATATTCATCATGTCCTTTATCGACAACTCGTTACGTTTTATTAAAATAGCACTACTTTGATTTTTTAAATTATCAACGGTCATTTTTTATGGACTAGGATGACCAGTTTTTCTGTTCTCACACCGGTCCGTTTGTCCAATACAAGAGAGAGCGGGAAGGGTGTACCAACTATGCGTCACCGCGGTACCTCCCGCGCGACGCCGGCATTTGACGCCGGGCGTTACATATCTCCGCTCGTTGCTGTCTCTTAGTTACGGATGAATCCGCGAGTGTATGATAGTTGTGAATAACTTAGTGACACTTTTGGATGTTTCTCGTGATCTAGCAATAATGGCTGGATCACTAGTGTTGTTATTAGTGATGTGTACAGGCATCATAGCCGCCGATAGGAAAATTACCATCGCCGACAAACTTAAGGAAGACTCTGACCTTTCTCAGGTATTTAAAACTTTCGAAAGACTTTTTATACTTATATTTATATGATTTTTAGGTGCATTAACTGGATTAAATATTTTAAGTAATAAAAGTAAATATGTATTTGTTTTGTAAGTTACATCTCTTTTTATTGCTAAACAGTGCTATTTTTAACCGATGTTGAAAAAGGGTGTTATCAATCATTATGGTCATATATCCAGCAATATACTTTGTTTATAGGTTTATAATTTCGTTGAAAAATAATATAATAATTTTTTAATAAAGTGAACTCTAATATATTTAACTTTTATATTAATTCGGTTTTAAAAATTGTGTAATGTATGTATGTATATAAATTAAAATATGTACAATACACATCCTATCCATAATAAACAATGACTTAAATATTTTTTATATAATTTTGTGCCATTGCTGTATTTGAAAACAAATAAAGTAAGTTTGTGAATGCTTATAAAAAGGTTTGTATACATATTTATCTCGGTATCTAAATGACGAATGAGCTATAAAAAAAATACAATTTTTTTTTTTTCAAAAGTCAGTAGAGTTTCTTGTTTGATGCTATAACGATAACCGTTTAATTACAAAATCATCAAATTAATATTCACTTGCAGTAATAAAATATCCCTCAAATTTACTACTATGGTGAATATCTTTTCAAGGTTTATTAAGCTGGCTACTAAAAATTACGGCATCAGCACTAACAGTGAGCAGTTCTTATGACTTGCTAATGCCATGCATTAACTGAGAATGCCTTTATTTTAGTATCGAATAATGAATAAGTACATCTCGAGAAAGTGGCTGTAGAACTAGATTAGCCTGGGTCTAGTTGAGTGGCCTGAATTTTCATCAATCTATCCTACGGATTGGCCTGCATGAGTTTTTTCTAAGAATTGGTATTTGGATGAACTTTGACAAAACCAAAATTATCTTTAGCTATATTGAATTACATTCAATTTGGAAGTACCTAAATAAACCCAAATGTTTCGAGAGAAGCTGTCTTATTCTATAATTATGGCATCTTATCCATTATTACATTATTTTTAAGTATATGTAACATTTTCGATTACAATACTTATTATGTTACTAGTTCGTCAGCATAAAGTCGACATGACTTGAAGAAAACTATGCTTCTTAGACAAGGAAGATAATCAATGAGGCAGATTTGTTTTCCTATTGCATTGAAATAGCACTTCATAATATTTTACGTTATCTATCCTATGACGATAGATAGGCTACCATGAACCAAATAACAAACGATGCGTTCCAACAATCAACAATGGTGAAAAAAAAAGAATAAATTGGACTGAATTCTTTAGTGTTTCATGTGTAATACCTACCATAACTTATGTTAATTATAGAATCATCAACCTTTTTACGTTATAGGTACGAGGAATTGTTTGTTCTTGTTGTAGAAATTGTTGTTGAAGGATTGATGATTCTACCTGTGCTAAGGTATTCGGCGAGACTTGAGAGAATGTTTACTACACTTAATTCAACGTGGTGTATTAACTAGATTTTTTTTTATCTAGATCACTCTGGAAATTTCTAGTGATGATATACCCTCACGTGCAGCCACATCTAATAGTTGGACATAGGACCAAGACTTTTACCATTACTAACAATTTTCTCGTCTTAATATCATTAATATGTAACTATATTATATTTATCGCCTATAAAATAAAATAAATTTTCAATACGTTATTATATATAATTTTCGATACTATTTATACCAGTTCTGTATTATTGGAGATACTGCAGCATAGTATAGAAATAGGTAATATTGAAGAGACTATCTTCACTGTTTGGCACTTGCTATAATATAATGTCTATATGAAATGACCAAGTACAATTAACAGAGTTCATTTTATGATGTCACTTGTATTATAGATTTACATAAAGTAATAACAGCTGCGTTTAATTATTGCAAAAGGGATTTGTTCAACAGTATCGCCGGCCATCTGTCTTTAACGGTGACTCATAACAGGGAGTGAATCGCGCAAGTACCTTTTAGCTGCATTAGTTCCTACAATTTTATGTTTTAAAGAACCAGATTAGATACTTAAAATAATTACTTCATTTTCACTCCATTTAATTTCTATGTACTTATGTTGTAGTGATGATCGATATCGATCGATAAATCTTATTCGTTATTTTTAATAACATTTTTAAAATTTGTCCATTATCGTTTTGATTTCCTATAAGACAGGCTATCCTTATCATGTATGTAACATAACTTGATACCCTTTTTCTACTTTATTATACATTATATTAAGTATGTTAATATTTAAATATAAAAATTGCCAATAATGTCCCATTAACAAAGAATTATTTCAATTACTTACATGTTTTTTTTATTAATTTAATAAATATTTTTACGAAGGCTGGAGACTTAGTTTAGTAGAAGTAAATTTAAAATTGTCAAATTTAATTTCAAGTCAATCAAAAAAGTATATATTGAATAACGTGTAGCTTTAGTTGTATATAAATATGGTAAATCAAGCTGGAAAAATAAAAAGGCTGAAAGGAAAGACAATATGACTCCATCAAAGAATAGTCAAGACAGCAAAGTCTCCCAAAGCCTGCCGCCTTGTTTGTTGAATAGACACACAAAGAAAGTATTCTGAATTCGATTGGCACTTATGACGAATTGTGAATTCTGTGTAATAAATAATTTTATGAATGCTTTTTAAAAAATTTTTGGGAAAGGTATCCACACTATATTCGTACATTCGTGTTAAAATTTACTTACTACTTGTTTGTTAGTCATTAAATTAGATTATTAACTGCTATCTATGAAAGAAATGGCTTGCTTTAGCATAGAAAATTTTAATTTCTATACTTTTTAAAACATATTGCAAAGAATACTACCATATTTATATTATAGTAATAGTAATGAAAATTTAAGCGGAAGATACTATTACTGATATTACAAATAAGAAAGCCGTTTGAATGAATAAAACAAGATGCAACGGTAGACTATACCTTCAATTAACTTATATGATACGTTATATTTTATGTAAAGAGGTAAGTTAAAAATATTTTATTATTTATAAAAAAAATCTTTTATTCCAAATTTAAATATATATACATGTATTATTCATACATATGTAGGTGCCTAGTTATCTCTGCTCTCTACGTATTGCGTTGGTAATTTACTAACAAAGACTTCAGACAATACAGTAGTTTTCAAAATACAATACAAAATTCAATTTGAATTTTTTTCTAATATATATTAATCATATGAATAAACGAACTTGGAGACAAAGATTAATAACATAATTAATTATCTTTTTAAAGTTGGAATAATGATTATTGTGTTCATTAATATTGGCATACATTATTTACACAATGTATATTATTGTATAGTATTACGTTATAGTAGCAAAAAAAAATCTTATATATACCTAATTAATACTTGATCAGTTTTATTCTTTATTGAGTGTTTCCAATCTCTATCTTCCTAAATTTGACCGTTTAATCTTTTACTTACACTCAGGTAGGAAGATAAACAATGTATGTATTATATTTGCTTAATTCGCATGAGTCAGTTCAAGAGGCGGCATTGTAGGCGGCTTTGAATGGGTCATTGACGTTTGGACAATGAGCATTGGAAGAACACTTTGCTAATAGAAAAATAAACCTGAAATTATTCTTAATTGGTAGTACATGGTTTAAATGTGATAAAATAAAATAAACCAGTAATTTTAATAAATCATCTTATAGAAGAAATTTCAACAGAAAAATTTTCGCCTATTGTAGCCGACAAGCAGCTTCTTTGTTGTAAAATATTTCGGCTGAAGGGTGAGCTAAGGCAGGGCAATATAGAACAATAGGCATGACATCTTAGCGCTCTGGAATGGCGATGCATGAATAGTATCACAGGCGTCATATGATACCGTGATAGCTGTAGTATAGATCATGTGTTATTTGTTGTTTAATAGTTACCTGTTATTCCAATCACAATTTTATTTTTCACAAATTCGTCTTCTTCAGAATAACCGCTGCGAAGCCAGGACACATAGTTTATAATAATCACGTTGTTGTAGCCATAAAACAAATTAAAATACAAATCTTATAGATAAACATTTTAGTTGTGTACTTTCAACTCCTTTGGAAATCGGTAGAGTAGAAAAGTATCATAGCACAACACTGTATATACCTATATATTATTATGTAGGTATATGGAAGGGTTAGACAGAGGTATATTGATTTTATTTATTTATGTGTGACGAAATAAGAATATGTCACCACTTATTTTATATTACACACCAATTACATACTGAAATCATTTTATTGTAGTATAACTACAATATTTCAAAATTCATAATTTCAAAATCCTTTCTTAGTCGATACTTATATGCTTAGTACACAATTTACCTGAATTTTAACTTTCTTATTAATTTCGGCTGTGTACTGATAGCGAGTACAAATTATTTTATAAGTGTAATTATGATATATGAGGATAATATTGTAAACTAAAATTTTATATTGAACGTAGGTACCTATACGAGGAAGCATTAAAAAGTAAAGAAAGAACGCATTCAGAAACAGGCCTTGGTTACATAATTGAGTAGTCTCAAATGGTTGCATCCGTTTGTCTTACGCTAGCAGCCTTGTGGTCCAACCTAATCAAACGAAAAACTCTCCTTAAAGAAAAGACATTTCGATTTATAGCTACTATAAAATACTTTTTTTATGTTGTTGATAAGTCGAACCCTTGAGTTTGACTTGCACTGAATCTTCATATTTTATTACTTCATCAAAACCAGAATGCTTTTCGATGCTATCCATAATTTTATATAAATAAACAGATTTGTATATCCATATACAAAGCATTGACAAAGTCACTTTGTATGTCTGTATTTTGAAGCATTTCTTGATAGATTTTATTATTTTATTTTAATTATTTTGCATAAGTGTATGCGACCAAACTTTTGGTTGGATTGTTTTGAATGAAATTTTGATATTTAGTTCATCCAGAATCCATTGTAATTTAAATTCTATTTCAACAGATGGTTAGAAAAAACAATTGAACCCGTTATTTGGTGCTGTTTTTCCGTGCAGGATGACGTCTACCGGGTCCTTTAATATATCACATATGTATTAATTTAAAATAACGATTAACAACTACACTGTATCTGCCTACCCTGTACTTACCCTTTTAGTGACGATGATAATATGAAGATAGTTTTTCAAGCCTCTTAATAAAAGTAATTCGCAGTTATTATCTAACAACAACGCAGTCATGAGTACAATTAATTTAATCTTTCTCAATGAGTCATATAGTTTCATACCACGAAGTCATTAGGGAACATTATATTTTATATGAGTCGGTAAAAATTCTTGTACCACGCCACGCGCGCTCATCTTACCCGCTTCCTCTGAGAGGTAATTATTGTGTACAACTGCTCCCTTTGTCAATCAACGGACAGTTTAATTTCATTTGAGCTTCCTCTGTGAAGGTTATGGGTTATGAGGGATATTGGGTTACCTTATGGACTCAATAAACAAAACAGAATGAAGGTCGCCGGAATTTGATTTATTTATTATTAAATTAATTTATGTGTGGTATACATAATTAGTTATGTTATTTATTTAACTTTATGAAATGCAACTTAGTATTTCATATTTAAATATATAAATTTATTTAGAAATGAAAATTTCAGATTTTCGGCCCAAAACTAGGTACTTACTATATAGTAGAGATATAGTGCTTAGGTAGTGAGTATTTCTTCATCTGCAAATAATTTTTGATTCAAAAAATATTACTGTAAAATATTTACCTAGTAGATTGAGACGCTGAAGTGAAATGAAATCTGAATGTGGAATAAAATAAAAAGATTTTCGTCAAGGGTTTTAATTTTAAATCTCCCTTTTCATTTAGAAACTCTCTAATTGACTTTTGGCAGACAGACCGACATTATTACGTTTATAATATGATATTGTTCTTAATGCAGAGAAATTAAAGTATTTTATATATTAATTCGTTAATCATATTAACAAGAAAATAAAAGTACGTTATTGCTTAGAATTTTAATTTAGAGTTCGGTATAAGCTGAATAATATTGGTCTAATTTTTTTATTATTCTTTGAATGGTAGTATTTAAATACTACCATTCAAATCGGAATGGAAAGACGACAATGCTCGCTCGACATGACGGAGACCAAAAATATGTTTATATTTTTGGTTAATACTTGATATCAGAATGCAATTTGTTTTATGTCATAAATGAATTAAAAATTCCATAAAACTGTATGCTTCGCAAGCATCTACTCATGTGCGGTATTCGAGGCTTTAGATGGAATTTCATGTTAACATGAAGCAAATTTTAAATATTTTAATAACGTTGTGTCTTTGTGCTGGAAATAAACATACGAATATGCATTGCCTACATTTTAATTTCTTCAGAACAACATGTAACATCTGTAGCATTCATAGAGATACAAAGAACGCAAATAGACTTTGTCACAATCTTAATCTAAAAAAAAAAGATAAAGTTGTGTCTTTGAATAGACAACTGTATATAAAGTGCAGAAATTGGAATATCTGAAATACCTAAAAAATCCGTGTAAAATTTTTAATTAAGAAACACAATTCATCCAACATTACATGGTGTTAATAATATTTTATCGAAGATCATTCTATAAAATACAAAGGACCATATCTAAGGCAAACTTATAAGTAAGATTTCGTGTCCATTACGGTTGCAAGGGTCGTCAGTATATAGGTAAGTACATGACAATAAGATCATAAGTTCGTAGAAAGACAGTAGTGGTCGAAGATTCTTACAAAGAAAATCTAATAAAATCTAGCTATGGGAATGGGACATAGTTTATTGAGTTTGTGTCTTTAGACAAACAATGACACAAACCTAACAAACTGTGTGGCCAGTTATGTCTTTATTTTATTTGAAACCAACGGCTTTGCAATTTGTCGTTACAATAGTATATTAGGCAATATTAAAGGTAATTAAATGTTTTAGTCAGGTAGTATGCAGTAGTATTCCACTAAAACTATATCATGTTGGTATGCGCAAAAAAGAAGTCAATATGGAAGTTATGCCTTTCCTAATAACATCACTCTACTAGAGGAGGATATATTAGAGGATGTCAGAAGCATTTTCTCATATCAATATTGTTTAGGCATCCGTCTGCTCTAACAGTATTACTGCTTAAAAAGTAAGTCAACCTTATTGTTGATATTCATCTTCATCCAGGTCACCTGGGAATTTAACTGGGTTTATTATAGTTGTTATATAATGCATTATTATACATACGGTAAAAAAAATCCATAGAATACTAAAGATATGTATAGTAGTAAATAGTGATTTTAATTATCTTTTTGTCTAAATTTAGTTGATTGATAGCATTATTCAATTACAGTTGAATAGATAATTTCGACTTACAAAGTCCCCCTCCTTTACTCATCTACAAGTATTTACTGTAAAATTATACACTATATGTAGTTATTACTTTAGTATAAATTCAGATAAAAGAATAACTTAATATGCAGTTTATTTATGGAGAAAATGTACAATATATTTAATTTTTACACATTATCTAGCTTCAGAGTCGACTGACTTAATTGAAATCGGGTGAAATGTAGAAAATTACGGAGGCATTAATGTAAATGGTTCCAGTGGCGTGGCAAGTGATAAAGGCGCGATGAAAATGTTGCGGTTCGCCTGTTCTCGTATTTCGAAGGGTTATTTTATGGTAAAATGAACTTCTCTTTTCGACATTCATTAATGTTTTTATATTGAAAAAATCTATAGAAATGCTGTTCTAAATATATATAAAACTACTGATGTATTTCCGCGTCTTCTCTCAATAATCATCTTTAATTCATCTCAATAATCTCTGATTTTTGGATAAATGTAAATGATAAATAATGGCATTTATACGTGCCTACATAGGCCATGTCAGACATACAGAAACACTTTCAAATTTACAATATTAGTATAGATGATTATAAAATATACTTCGCAATAATATTGAATAACTAGTTGATTACTGTTTTACGGATGCGTGTCCTGCAAAATGGTGCATAATGATACAAATTTAAATAAGGTAAATGGAACGAAATATACGCCGTATTCGCAAAATCTGGTTAAATCTGTTCTAATTATGAAAATTTCAATTGAGAACCGGAAAGTTTTATAAACTGGGGGCGTATTATGAACTCTTTAAAATCCAGTCAGTTTCCAGGCAGTTCAGTTTACGGCCTTAAACTGAATTGTTCTTTTTCGTATTATGAGGGTCCAAATTCAAACCGTATTTTGCCTGGATAGTTTGTCTCTGGCTGGTTAGTGGATTTCCTCGCGCTGCGTTCGGATACGCATACATTCGTTGCAACGTTAAGTCGAGTTTCTGTATGTCACTTTTTGGACAAAATATTAATTAAATAAATGTAAATTAAATATAGAAAACAGTAATTAAGATACAACGGTAGAATTTGTGTAATATACAAAAATATTCCAGACAGTTTTATGGTCTTTTTTAATAATTCGGATTTATTTGTAAAAAATATTTTCATTGTAATATCCAAACGAACTTTGTGCATCTACTTAAAATTCCGCGCAAAGTACTTAATTCCGATTTTAATGTACAACTTGAAACTTAGCCTTTCCATAACTTTATACGCAAGTTAAATTTAATAATTCAATTATTGTGAAAGATATACCTAATGTAACGTAAGTATTCCTAACATTTTCTTAGTAATGTTTTTTTAAAATGATGCAAATATTTAAATGTTTATATTTGTATATTTATCTAACTAAATTGTAGATCACGGACTGAAACCTCTCGCCAACGTCGTGTATCGTACCGGTAATTTGAAATTATATGGGATTTTTAAAATCCCATAGGGAAATGGCAAGTGGCTTTAATAAGTCCGCCCAAGAATACCATACCAATCGCTTGTGTGAGGACGTCGCTCAACAATTAAACTCCTTAGGAAAAGGGGGTTTTAAAGACTGGAAAGGATTGTCAAGTTTAAGTGTTATAAGGTAACCATCTGAATTTTAATTTATTTCATTTAATAGGAATCTCAGTAAAATCTGAAATACATATATCTATGCAAATATATTGAAGTATCTGTTTGTAATTTTGAAGTTCACCATACAACAGCTTTTCAGTAAATGCATACATATAGAAGGTAAGATAAATGACATTAAAAAAAAATAGTTGTCTGTCCGTTTGTTTGTTCTTGCTAATCTTTGAAACAGCTGGACCAAATTTGAGGGATACTTTCACTGTCATATGTAATGAGTTGCGTAAAGGAGTAACTTAAGTTGCTTTTATTTGAGATATTTTATTTATTTTAACAAAAATTAGGTATGCCATATGGACAAAGTCATAGGTAATAACTAGTATATAATACAATTATCATATCCCTTTAATTATAACTACCAATAAAAGACATAAATAATGTACCTATATCATTTTTTATAAAAACAAATAATTAAAACATTGACCTATTAACAATATTATTATTTATAAATGTTTCAATTTCTTAGTTCCACAACTAAACAACATGGGTTTGTCTAGCAGCTGGTCTAGCTGCTAGACTCATTTAGTTCTCTATAAGAGCTCAAAGTACATGTAGGCATCTAAATCTAGAAGCCCAATTGTGCTCTCAATGATATTCCATGTTCTTACAGTGTAATATGCTTCTTGTGGTCCTGATATAACATTTGAGATGGGAGTATACTTCTCATCATCCAAAGCATATCCTGGATCTCCTAAAAAAAAACAACATATTATATACTATAATATTAATATTTATTTACAAAAAGTATTATTTCATTAAAAACACAGCACAATAACTGTTGGTGCTGATAAATAACTATGTTTCTAAATTACTGAAGTTTAGAGCTTAGATGTAATGATGTTTGTAGTTTCATAATAAAATTTTGTGGTTACCAAGTAATCATAAGGATTTATTCCAGGTTAAGTCCTCTAGATGTTGCTTAATGCCTCTGGTTTGCCCAAATGTCATGAGTAGCTCCAGTTCCAGTTGGCATCCACACTCATAATGTCCATGTCAGCATTACTAACCTAATTTTTTTTTCCAGATTAATTACATAGATGAAGATTATTTGAAACATATGACATTAATTACATGGATACAGATTATTTGAAACATATGTCTAAGTGTTATGGTCATTTTATATTTAAGTAAACAATTTATTGTTAGTAGGTATATAAGTAGCTTTAGAAATGTATAATTATTAACATATTTTGTATGTCTAAAATCTTGTTTATTGTTAATTTATATAATTATATTAAAAAAAGATATTAAAAGTGCTTATATTATTAAACATGTCTTTTAATTTATATTTCACTTACCAATTATATATTTAATGAATGGTATTGTTTTCTACAGTAATATCTCTTCTTAATTTACAATGGGGTGGCATGTGTACAGTCAAATACAGCCCAATACACCCAGCATTCCAAATTCCAATTATAAAACCTAAAATATAATTAATTTAATTTAATTAATTGTCCTCGGAGGAAAGTGCCGGAGAGACTACACATCATCAGACTGTTGCATACTTGTATACTTGCTTTCTAGGCTTTACTTGTGTGCATACATTTTACCATATATATTATCACTATATCATATGGTATGGTACATGGTACTCATAGATGTATTTGCAACAATCACAGTTGCTAATTGTATAGAAATAGATACCTTTGAATATTTATTATCTATCCTTTACTCAGATGTCCTTGGAATTTTATATATGTATTTACTGTTGGATGTTGGGTAAATGCAATAAATCGGTTATTTGCCATTGGCTGTGCTAGCGAATGAAGAGCAATATCACTAGTAGGCCGTTGATACGAGCCTGCAGCATAAATAATAATGCTACTAAAACCTGACATAGTCAGCTAGTGATTTAGTGAAATAATTACAATACAATATACCTTAGTTTCCACTGGTAGGTCTGTAAATTTCGATGATACCGGCATATGAGTTCGCACGCATATTACGCACCAAATCTTTATTTAGATTATAACGTTTTCTAAATTGTTCATTGTCTATATCAATTGGATTGGATTGGTCGCGTAATCGCCGTCTTTTCACTTTCCTTACTTCTTTTTCGTAGGGTGAACACATTTCCAAAAACTCCAATACTTCGAGTTCATCACACATAATTAAAATTAAAACGAAACAAAAACAATCGAAATAACTGCACAAACATGTTATAAACATAATAAAAACTGACATAGAAATAGAAATAATAACCAAATTACAATAATGAAGCTATAAATTAGAAAACAATTCTATAAAAGCTAATATGAAGCCACCGTAAACTGAATTCAAAAAGCCCGTTTAAAAACGGGCTTTTTGACAGTTGCGTCCGCTCAGATCTGTCAAATGAAACGCTCATAATACGAAATAGCCGGTCAGTTTTCGGGCAGAAGACGTTCAATTGTCATGTGACCGCTGACTGGCTGGCTAATAGCGTTCGTAATACGAAATCGCCAGGCAGTTCAGTTTAAGCCGTAAACTGAATGGGAATAAGAGTTCATAATTAAATTCATAATGTAAACTTAATTTTAAAAATTATTTTCAGTGTACCAATTAAACAATTTTCTTTCTTTCTTTCTTTTCTTTCTTTCTAATACGCCCCCTGGATAGCAATCATTGTGCATTGATGATTTATTAAATATTATTGTCTAGTAGTTCATTTGTTTTTTCTTTCGAATCGGTTTTTATATTGTTAGGATCAACCATGGTTATATAATGTATCATCCGATCGCTGTGTATTGAGAGTACACAGTGAGTATCATGCTGAGGTAAACGTGTTGAGTTTGTTAAAGAATCTCTATTTACGTATATACCTCGTTCCTTCTTGGTATTAACTGGCAACTATTATTTTCTCTAGATTATTTAAATCTTTAGTTACCTATATTTATTGGTAAAAATGGATTATTAAAATTATTCTTATCCTTAACATTTCATTGTATATATAGAGATAGAAATATACAGATTTTTATGATCTATCATCATATTTTGAGACTGACGTCAATGTGAAGAAAAACTTTTAAATTTCTGAGGAAACAGTCGCAATTATCAAGAGCGTCACTCAAATTGACTATTTTGACCATAACTGTTATAAGGTCAAAGTGTTCCTGATAAGAATGAAGAAAATTCTGAATTTATTTTATTATTCTGAATATATTTAAATATCCATAGCAAATGAATAGGTTTACTTTGGAGTTTTTAGATTGAAATCTGCATCTAACGCTTTGGACTGTCCAACTATGATAAAATGTGAAAGTCTTGACAACTAGGTATTATGAGTAATTTAAAGATCTAAAGTCTTTTTGTATTATTAAGTCAACCTAACCGTTTATCATCAAATGGCTGTGAGACTTACTATTACTACGCTGGTCAGAAACAAAATATTATTGGTGGTCATGTATAGATAAATTACATAATTTAGTAACAAACTTGTAAAATGCCATAAAATATGCAGGTTAATACCAGTTTCTCCACGCATCCTGTCCCCGCTTCCTGTTCCTAGGTGACGAAGTATCAATTGGTGGGGAATTCAATAAAGGCCGACATGCGGGCACGCTGTGACACATCTCATACGTTTTCTTATTCCACTCTCGTAACTTTGACACCTGATACATGCATAATGTAGTAATTGTATTTTTTAACGCTTTACAACGACTCATACGTGATGAGTTTAACAGACAATATGACGTTGATAATTCTTGCATTTATATTAAAAATATAGATGTTTTAGTCATACAAATTTAAGTAAGAATATTGATATATATATTCTCATACACAAGAGTAGGTATAAAGAACACATTTTGACACATGATTAGTTAAGTAATTAGAAAACAAACAAATTTTCAACAATACAATTTTGGTAAAGGATTGTATTAGTATGATTTATTATATTAAATGAGTACTTTGTGACCGACCAGTTGTAAACATCTTGAAAATTAATCAATAGTTCTGCGGTTTTGCCTGTGGATCACTTCGTAAGATTGAATTTCAAGGTTCTATAAAATATATTCAATTCCTCTATTGTTATGAATAAGATTATGTAAGTAGTTTTAGATATCATAAAAGTTAAATTAAAAGTTTTACAAATAAAAAATTGAATGTTGCCTAAATAACTGACATACATAACTATAATTTAATATTAATCCTGAAACCGTAACTGTTCGTGGTGATATGAAACTTGGAACCAATAGGCGTTTATTTTTATTTTAATATTTTTTTTTCCATCTATGCTCATGGCGGGATAGAACAGTAAGAGCCACTTGGTTTAATTCTTACTCATGACCCTTGTTACATATTTATGCATACATAAATAGTATGTATTTTATGCGATTTATGAAATATTTCAACTGCAGATTGAGCAGAATTAAACGAGCATTGTCGCAAGCGATGTTTTGATATAATACTCATTCTCACAATAGCTATGTATACCTGTAACTAAATGCACAATGGAGAGTTTGTATGGCACCTGACAGTGATATGGGTGACAACTTAATGGTTTTGTACAGACGTCGTGAGTTACCCAAACAAATTTTAATATGATATATAGATCTAGATTTAAATGAGTAGGTATATACCCTTCAGTAATTGAAATGTGAACGTTTTGTTAAAAATAAAAAATAGATATTTAAATATACACACATATATATATAACACTAAACTTAATTAATATCAACAACTTTTTTAAAGCCGTGAAAGTTTTAAAAATCTATCAATATAATTGGGAGTTATTTCACAAATTTACGAATTTTTTCAACCAGTTTCGCACAGAATTCTTTTATTGGCAAAACGAAACTAAAAATAGTTAAAGTATTAATTAAAAAGTATTTGAGAATTACCAAATCTACAATTATAATAGAATACATATTGAGAATTCTCTATATGTATTTTATTATAGTAATAATACATTCATCATCGTCAGTTAATTTATTTAACTATTATTTTTAATTTTAAAGATGACTGATTTTATTTCGATATAGAGGAGATTCTTTAAAATATTAAAAGAAATAAATTCACTGCACCTTTAATTACAGTTGTTTATTTAACCATAATTCTTTGTTATATTCAAAATAAAAAATAATTCAATTAATTAAAGTGTAATTTATTATTACAAGCATAAATCCAAGTTATCCTGACAATGTGACTTACGTGATGTTTGAGTATTTATAATATATATTCGCATTATAAACGTTGCTATTGTGCCTTACAAGATAGAAAGGGATGGTCATAAAATTTAACTGCAAAGCATTAGTTGAATGTCGTACCCTCATCGTACAAGTTTGCGAAGATAACGACATCTGATTTCTCTTTAAATTGTCATTTAAGATAAAATTCTCGCGGTCTAGTGAATCATAGATTAAATTTAAACACATGTTCAAAATATATATGAATTGATAAGTATTCAATAAATATAATCTAGTATACTGTGCTCAAAAGGTTTTTTTAAATATTTTTGTAGTTTGCTATTCCAGTACATGGAATAGCACTCAAGTTTACACTCAATCCATTGGAAAGTGGTGACGCTAGACACGATGAAACTCTAAGGTGGAGTGGGTATGGATATTCAATTTTTATATAATGAAAATTAAATACAATAATCACCAAACAATTTATCATGTGTCCACATTTGAACATTCAAAACTTCTTCAAAAATGGCTACTATTAAGAGATTCTGTTGTTACAAAATATCTATTTAATATTTCATAGAGGTACCCCCATAAATATTCTTTTAGTAATCACAATTACGCTACATTATTTATTGAATAAAATGCAACAGTAACATTTACTCAGAAAAACAATATACCTAATGTATAAACAGTTTAGAGCTTAATGGATTTCAATTCGCCACAACAGAAAATAGTATTACTTATTTAGTTTTTAGTCTCTGTAATATAAATTATAAAATCAAGCCATATACAAGGGCTTACTGGGCAAAGAAACTCGGTAAATACATACTTCTACCTGGCGCAAACCTGGCGTGAAAATTGATATTTTTCGATTCGCTCTTAACAGAGCAATAATGTTTTATATACAGCTCCTATACCCGTGAGACCTTTTAAATTAAACCGTATCT